AAGGGGAGATTAAATTATTTTAAAATGTGTTCTTAAACAAATTGTTCTTGGAAAGGGAAGCTGGTCAATTGTTACTTAACTTTCTGAGTTAATGTTCGATGGTCTTTTCACTAATTAGAAACTTCTTGACTAATTAATTACAACTTATTCCAGTTACTTATGCGAGCCCAATCTACTGATGCTCTTATTTTGAAACCACTCTGGCCCTATTTCCTCTAATACTTCGGTTCAATCTGTGCGCCTTGACGCAGCTGCAGCATCCATCCTCGGACACTCATCCACTGAGTTGGATGAGAGTCATCGTTCACTCGTTATGTTCACTTCTCTTTTTACCTGCGTCACGTTTTCACGTCAACGTGATTCTCTCCTGCAGCAGATTTGATGTCTTCACTTTGGGAACAGCGGGTGATGGGTGTCATGGCCTCAGTTGTTCCAGTCCAGCGAGGCCCGGAAAGACAGAGTGTCTGTTGTGCTGCTGAAGTGCTGCTCACGTCTTTTCATATGTAAATGTGTAATCTGTCGGTGAATGTGCTGAATACCAACGAGGAAGGAAAAACCTCCAACTTCTCTCTTGGGTGGACTGACGCGCGCACCCGAGCCATGGCGCGGTCCCCCCCAAATTACGCACCTTACTTCTGCTGGTGCGCGTGTGCATTGTACCTAGAGAGAGAGAGAGAGGGATAGGTGTGTATTAACTGCACTTTGGTCATTCCACAGATGACTGATGTTTGCACAGTCAGCCAAACCGCATGCAGATGGTGGTTAGTTATTGTGAGTGCATGTCAGCATCAGTGTGTGTGTGGGAGGGGGAGAGGTGTAATTCATTGTTTTGGGGTTTTCCTAAAAAATTGAGAGTCTGGCTGATGTGGATTTCTGGATTTGCATGTGTTGTGACACTGAAAGGCCAACAAAGACATTGTCTAATGTATTTCAGATCTATAACTGTACAGCTGGTCTGGTACCACAGATGAAACTTATCCTGTTGGATAACTCTGACATCTTTACAGTGCTGTTATTAAGATGCACCGACCCTGAGAAATAAACGTAATAAATACATATGTAAAATATAAAGGGACAGTTTAATCCACATCACAAGGAGTCGCACTTTCCCACTTACTTCTGATTGTATTATTTTTGTTCGTAACTCTAAGGTACTCAAGCTCATCCTCATGATGCACCTGAATGGGAAGAATTATGACAAATGTCTTACTTTTATCACAAAATAGTTCCAATAATGGTTGTAATTATTGTATTGATTCATCTAAATAATCTTAAAATCCATTGTTCCAAACCCGAAGATATTTTATGTGGAATTAAATAAAACTAAGAAAAGCAGCATATTCTCACACTATAGAAACTCAAACCAATTATTTTGTCATTAAAATGACTTAAACAATTCATTGATTATCAGTCGTGTCAATCACTAACCCTCCTTACAGACCTTCACCAGAGAGAGTAGATTGGATTTTTGCATTGACATACATGTGTTTGTGTAGATAACAGCCTTTGCTCTGCGGCTTTACACCACCACGGATGAACTGGACCTTTAACATACAGCAGAAAAACTTTTCGAGTGAAGCCTGAAGTGACAATAAGAAGAATAACGTCCTCTGACGATGATAATATGAACAGCCCCTGGTCTTCTGGCCTGTTTCTGCTACAGCGTTTGAGAGTAACAGTTCTCCCTCAGTAACAAGAACAAAAAAGATCCATGTGATCTGTGTGTGTGTCTGTGAGTGTGAGAGAGAGTGTGTGTGTGTGTTGTGTGATTGAATTGTACCACTTTGCTATCAGCAGAAATCAATGCTCTTGTGCTACATGATGGCTCTAGTGAAAGCTGGAGCGATGAGTGTGTGTGTGTGTATCTCTGTATGCATGTCGGTGTCTCTATGTGAGGTTGTGTGTCTGTATGTGTGTGTGTGTGTGTGTAAGGGGACTGCAAAATAGTAGGTTGTCAGTTGCATAGCAGGGCCCTGATGAGTAGGTTAGGGGTGGTGAACCGTCACTGATGGTAGTAATTATCGACACTGAATCCTGAACTGTGTGTGTTTGTATGTGTGTGGAGGTGTTTTAGTGTTTTCCATCGCGGAGCCACTTGCTGTGACCTTAGAAATTAAAACCTGAGGCCAGAAGACTGTTTGTTTATCCCTAACGCATTTCTGTGTGTGTGTGTGTGTTTCAGGTGAATGTGTGGAGGGTCTGTCGGAGGAGGATGTGGTGCTGTTACACTCCTGTCGTCAGTGGACCACAGTGACGGCCCACAGCTTAGAGGAGGGACACTACGTCATTGGACCCAAGATAGACATCCCTCTGCAATACCAGGGTGAGCAAACACACAAACACACACAGAAGAAAATTCCATAATAGTTAATAGTTCTCCTCAACCTAAACATACCAAAAACACCAGTTCCTAAATTGTCTATTTCCTCTGGGGGTAAAAATGAAAAACACGTTTTTGTCACGGGCCATTTTCTGTGGTGTGGTGAAATTCCTCTAAAGAAGTCCCGACCAGACTCCGACATGTGATGTTGTGGCTCATCGTTCTTCCCTCTAAGCCATTCTGTAAAGATAAAATAAAGTTACAATTAGAGTTCAACAGTTTGATCCCATTTCCACCAGGCTAAAGAGAATTAGTCTTTTTAGAATTAGAATTTGAACATTGACATTGTGTTGTACAGATTCAGGAGTAGAGCTGAAATGATTCATGTGCGATTCATCAATTCATAATGTAAACTAGGGTACAGCCTATATTCACTCACTCAACCTGCTACTGTAGATGTGACCTTCCCTCGCTCTCCTGTCCATTCACATCCTGCTGAATGAGTCTAGTCAGTACATGACCTCACCGGAGCTCATCCCCACAATCCCATTGTTCCGTCTCTCCTTCCAGTCACATCATTTGCTGGCTGTGTAACTGGATCTTAATGCCTCCCTCTCTCATTGCTTCCTCCGCTGATGGAGCGCTGATGTTACCTCACGCTGACGCCGCCTCTCCTTTTCTAAAGAATGAAAGAACACTTGGGTGAGAGGGCGGGGGCGTGTTGAGATCATTGGCAATTTAGGCATTTTAGCATCAGAAGCATGTGACCACCGGTATTACCATTATGAGCAAAGGGAAGTAAATGGCACAGGGAACCAAGTTAACCTTTTAACAGAGGCAAAAACTCAGAAACCTGTGAAAGCTTTCATGAGAAAAGATTACCACATGTAGGCCTTACTATAGGTAAGGATCCTCTTCAGTTATAGAACAAGTGTACTTTAGCGTGTAGCCTTCATTTCATATTAGCAGATTCAAACTCCAGAAGCAAAACAGCAGCTCCATAATTCAATCTTCGTTTTCTGTCTCATAATATCTGCAGGGTCATTTGCTGCTCCCTTCTTTCAATCAACAGTCTTTTCCATTTTTTGATTTAGCTGAGATATTTCTGTCTAGTCCACAGACTTTTTTTTAGATGGTTCCAGTGGTGGAAAAGTACAATATAAATTGTACAACAGTCATTAGGGCTGCCAGTTAGTTATGCAACATTTTAATAATGCATTTCAGCAGACAACAAGAGGCCAGCCAGCAGAGCCAATGTAAATGTACTTTTAGAATGACCTTTACGTCTCTCTGACTATAACACACGGGTTGTTGTTGAATCGGAGGCATCACCAGTGATGAGCTAATGTCCGTGATGACTTCATACAGGAAGTCTAAATAAGCTTAGGAGGAGAGCAATATAGGTGTCCCCCTAGGGATGGATAACAGGAAGCTCCCTCCTCCTCCGCCTTCTTACGTTCAATCAGTCCGTCTATCTGTGTCCTCCTCTGTCCGTCAGTGAGAGGCGAGGATGAGTGAAGTGAGGACTGAAAAGCTGAATGATCCCTTCTCACAGAGAGGTTTCTGGGCAGCGAGTGGCGCCACAGCAACGTGTGTAATGTGGAAGTATACTGGCCAAACATTTATCTGGAACAGCTTCTCACAGAGTATTACAGTGACACATCAGTAATAGTTGGAGTCTCAGCCGAATAACAGTTTCCAAGCCGGAGATGTGGTTTTGTCACTTTTTTTTTTAAAGTGAAGGGAGCTGTGTTGAGAAGAAGCACTAGCTGGTATTGTTTGATGGGTGGAAGCTCCTTATCCTGGGGGCTCTGTTTGAATTGGAAGGCAGGGGGTGGAGGAGAAAGTGGGGGAGAGAGAGAGAGAGAGAGCAAGAGGGAGGTGCTGGCGAGGAGGATCGCGGAGGTTTGGTATTCTGCTCGGCCTCCCAGACAAAAAAAACTTTCTCATGTGTCCTCGACTGTGAGAGAAACAGAAAAAAAAAAAGCGTATCCTTCGAGGGTTATCACAGTTCAATGCACAAACAATGTGAGGGCCATTAAAATGTTCTTTTAATACAGATGTCTGGGAGCCCATTGTGCGTTCCTTAAGTGGTTCTTCACAACATTAGACACAAAACATTTACAGTTTAAAGAGCACAAGCACACAGTCGCTGGACGGCAGCAGTGGCGTGAATGAGAGTAAAAGATTTACAGATGGAGGGGGGGGGGTGAGCAAGGGGAAGAAAGGGTGAAAGAGAGAGAGAGTTGTGTGTGTGAGTGTATGTGTGAGTGTCTCCATGGTGATGGGCCTCTGCTCTGCGTGAGAATGGGGGTCCTTTATTGGTTGCCATGCCAACCCCTTCGGCTGTTGATTTGCCGGAAGCTGGTGCCAGGTCATAGGTCATGGAGGTGTCTTTGTATTCTTCTCATCCAAACAGTGTCTATACGGGGTGTGTGTGTGTGTGTGTGTGTGTGTGTCTGTGTGTGTGTGTATGTTTGAAGTAAGACAGCAGAAAGTCAAAAAGAGAAGACAGAGAAAACTAAAACTTTTTACCACTTTCTTCCCGTCTCATCTTCTTCCTTCCTTCTCCTCACATCTCTTTCCTTCTCTCCTCTCCCCCCTTTTTCTTCATCGTCCTCTTCTCCTCCGCACCCCCTTCTTCCGTCCTTTCCTTCGCTTCCTTCCGTCATTCCTTCGCCTTTTCCTCCCTAACCATTATCTGGTTTCCTCTGTCTCTTTAGGCAAGTTTAAGTTGTTGGATGAAGACCGGGACGTCAGGGACCCGGTCCAGTATTTTTCCAGTGTGGAGGAAGTTGCTGGCGTCTTCCCCGACCGGGTCTTTGTCATGGAGACAATCACCTTTAGTGTCAAGGTCTGAATTAAGTTGCATCTTCATCTAATGTTTGACTCTGGTCGTCTTACTCCGGGTTATTTCATGGTGTTTGAGTCTGCACACGATGCATTATCACATCCACTTGTGCATGCATGTGTGCGCTGCAGGTGGTCTCAGGGGAGTTCAGCGAGGACAGTGAGCCCTACAGCTTCACTCTGCAGGCTGGAGATGAGCTGTCACTCATGGGGAAAGCAGAGCTCCTCTGTGCCACACCCTCAAAGGAAAAGACGGGACTGAGCGCGCTGTTGAGACGCCTGGGAAAGACCCCTAGAAGTAAGTAAGGCCAAATCTCACTGTGTAGAATTCTGTTCTATATCCTTTGTCTGTTTTGACCCTTTGTCGTTCTACCTCTGTGTCTCTGCAGGTAAAACTCCCTGCCTGGTCTGTATGAATCATCGCACCAATCAGAGCGTCAGCCTGCCCTTTGGCTGCCGTGGACGCTTTTGCACACGCTCCCCTCTGGAGCAGGGCATGCTGGGAGGAGAGCACACGGTACGCAGCATAATAGAGAGGGTTCGCCTCCCCGTCAACGTGTCCGTACCTTCACGACCGCCACGGAACCCCTACGACCGCCATGCGGTGCGAGAGGGCCACCGCTACAAGCTGCTCAACATCGTCAGCAAGACAGTGGTGCTCTGCATGGTGCTTCGCCGACAGGAAGTCTCCCCCTCCCATTTCCTGCTGCTGCGCTGCATGCCCAGGTTTAATGTGGCCGAGGCCTCTGTTCACACAGCGGCACTGGAGAGTCTTCTACTGCGACACGCGTTCGACCCAGACGCCTACTCTCGTGCGGTTAGAGAAACTCGGCCAGAGCTGGAGTGTATGACGGAGGAGTGCGTGAGCCCGCGCCGCTCACGCATGTGTGTGTCGGGTCAGGACTCGATGGCCCCGGCACTGCAGCGCCTCTCAATGTGCGGGTATGGGGGTGGGGTTTCGGACAGCCTATCACAGCGCTGCAGGGACTCTTTTGGAGAGAGACTGGGAGAGGGGCCAGGTGAGGAGAGGGAGTATGTGACCCCTGAGTGGACTGAAGCTGAAATGAGGACCAGTGAGGAAATCCCTTACGAGGAACTCTGGACCAATCAGAGCACAGAGGGCCTGGGGAAGGAGCCAACCCTCATCTCCTTCCATTCGTCTTCGTCATTGGACGGCTCTCTTGGTACCGTGGTGACCAGAGTGTCTACACCGCCGCCTGTACCTCCAAAATCTGATGCTGTGAGTTTCAGTCATCGGCTCCCGTCTTTCATTTTGTCCTTCTGTCTCTCTCTGCTCTCATCTGTCCACAGCAGCATCCGGCTGTTAAAAGTCAGGATGCCTGGCCTGAATTATTCATACATTACAGCTTTTAAACCTCATTTACCACACACACACACAAACACACACACACACACACACACACACTAATACGCAACATGTCTTCCTGGAAGCACGGCCATTCACTCACAGCCCATGTGCTCACAGCACATGAACACATACATCATCACTAACTATCCAGCGACATGCATGTTAGCTGTATTCAGGGATACAATAATGTTATGTCGTTTTACACAGAGTATGACACTAATGGAGCCTTTGGTCTTAACAATTATTATTGGTTTTATGATAAAAGATGGAGACAAAACAACTAGTTGTCTAGAAACGTCTCATTTCTGCTGATTGCAACAGAAAACGTAATCGATCGTGATCATTTTGCTGTTGTTGTAAAAGTGCTAATCCAGAAGAGTTATTTATTTAACTGCTGAGTTTAAGTCCTATCATCATATTTCAAGCTAAATTGGAACCTGGATTAAAAAATTGAGCACCTGATCATTATTGTTCTAGGTGACATGAATTGGAAGGTTGTGGATTAATTAGTGGAACACATAGTATATGATGTTGTTTATGACTGTTGTGGCTACTTAGTTAGTTTTTTACTTTACTAAGTTGAGGGTTATATGTGCACAGCTAAAGCTCCTCATGTTTAACTGAAGACTCTTAATGTTCATCTGCATGTGATGTGTTTTAAAACAGGTTCTTCTTGCTGCTGCTGTTCCCTGTGTTCACGCTCATGTGTCAGTGTGTTGTCCTCTGTGTGTGTGTGTGTGTGTGTGTGTGTGTGTGTGTGTTTGTGAGGGGGATTTATCACACGTTGTTTTGTTTAATTAACTTTTCTCTTGTAAAGTGACGGCAGCAGAGCGTGGGGGAGTGTTGGTGTTGATGTCTGCTGTGCAGCTGGATTATACCCTGTCACACACAGCGTTCCTCGTGCCCTGATATTTAGCCTGCCAAGAAAGACACTCAGTGTGTGTGTGTGTGTGTGTGTGTGTGTGTCTGAGTGAGAGAGAGAGAGAGAGAGAGTGTTTGTTTGAGGTGCAAAGGTCAATAAGTTTGACATTTACCAAGTAAAGCATTGAGACAAGCCAGCTCACACACTCCAGTTGAAGGAGCTCCACTTTTTGCAGTTGTATGTCTCATTTTTTTGTGTGTGTTTGCATGTAGGTGAGAGAGGAGTGCCGCTACTTGATCGCCCCTCCGGTCCCCCCTCGCTGCTCTAAAGGGGGCTCCATCTCCAGCCCGGTCCCCAGCCCGCCCGTCCCACCTCGATTCCCCAAAAACTCCACCTCCCCGAGACCCAACCTTTCTTTCTACTCCTCTGGACTCCACGGCAGGTACAGTCCTTCAGTAAATCATTATCACATTGATTTGAAATAAATGGAATGATTACAGAGAGGATGACATGACATGATATACGTATATATGTATACATGTATGTATGTATGTATGCATATATACAGGTCTCTTCTTTTTCAACATGCTTTGGTGCTCTACAAACATTACATAGAAAACTAGGGGAAAGGATCAAGCAAAGGGGGAAGCCAGTACTGTAGTACAAAACTATGCAGTAACATTAAATCTGTATGATTTAATTTTCACTCCCTGGAATCTAATGTTGTAAAGTCTTCCAGACTTAATGCTGAAACATTAATCATATCACATCTAACATAACTTTCTCCTGCTCTGTTCCAGCTGCTCTCCCTCTCCAGACGCCTCCTTATACTGTTACCCGTGCTCCTGGGCCGACTGTCCCGCCCCTAACCCCGCCAGTCCTGAGCCTGTCGCTACCATCTCTGCAGACAACGCAGCCAATCCTCAGCCAGCACAGGCCACCTGGGCAGAGCCGTGGGTGGATTCCTTCACCTCCTCCGGACCCCGCCTAAGGCCGCCACCTCCACAGAGTCGATTTGCTCCCTTTGGGGCGTTGAACCCCTTCAATCGCCAGTCCCCTTGCCCCTCGCCCGAGCCTGTTGCCAGTCCCACAGCAGATGCCTCCAGAGGCGCAGAGGGTGGTGGGACGTCCACCGTGGTCACTGAGGGGCTGTCCCTGACCCCTGACCCCACCTGGCGGCCTCCTGCGGACCTGTCCGCCCTGTCGTTGGAGGAAGTGTCGGCGTGTCTGCGGTTCATCGGCCTATCAGAGGCAGCGGTGTCCGTTTTCCAGAGGGAGCGAATAGACGGCAGCCTCCTGGTGCAGCTGACTGAGGACATCCTGTCACATGACTTCCACCTGAGCCGACTCCATGTCACCAAGATCACACAGTTCATACAGGGCTGGAGGCCCAAGATTTAACACACTGACCTGATAATGTGCCTGTTGGCTGCTGAGCCTTCCTGAATGTGCCTTCCACTGTGACCAGCTGGCTGCTGAGCCCAATGACTGAAGCGGAGACTCTGCTGAAGAAAACCACGCCACCCTGTGGTCAAACTGAGACACTTGACTGGCTCTCATGCTTAGAGTCCCTGACAGACTGGACTGAGTATTTCCTGTCTGAATCACAGACTGGGACTATAGTTTACTAACAAATGGCTACAACAGAGAGCTACGTGATGAAAACGCCCCGATTCCAGTTCATATGTGGAGCAAATAGTCGACCACAAAATTCATGTTCATGCTCCGAGACGGAAGAAAGATTTTAAACAAAGCACAACTTATATTTGTCTGGCCTTCATGCAGTGAAATTTGAAAAAAGATCCACAGACAATACAGTTATTAGCCGTTAACTGTTGTAGTTGTAAAGTCATCATATAATAAAAAGGAATTATTTTATAGCCTTTTAAAGTCACTATCAGACGCAAGTGTGGAAATGTGATGGGAATATTCACTGTTTCTTTAAAGTTTCATACACTAAATGATTAATTAAGTTTTTTGGGGGAAAAGGGCAGAAAAATCATTAAAGAATATTATCATTAGTTGCAGCCCCACATTTCTATTTCTGCTTCAGTACATGAAAACCTCTGAATCCTGCCCAAAACAATTAGAATGGACACAATGGTCCAGTGTCTTCCAGATCAGGGGACAGATATGTTCTTTCAGCTGTTCAAATTAAATGGAGGCCTGCTCTATGAATTCTACATATGCAGTATGTCCATCTTAATTAGAGGTATACGTATACCTCCGTAATGGTACTGATGATAAGGATGCTATATAACCAGGGACTGTAGCCTCAGCTGCACTGAGCGTGATTTAGAGATCGTCTGAGTTAGTCAGATAACTGTAAAAAAGGAATTTTATGTTGTAAATGTTTTTATTAGTTCTTGTGATTCTCTTATCGCCACCACACATGCTGCTGTTCTCTCATACTGTCTGAACTGATCCCCTTAAAATTCCATGTTCCCAAAATTCCCAAAGGCTGCTCACTGAGGCCAACTTTCACAAAACTGACCCCACCCTCCCACCCACACACTCACACACACACACACACACACACTTTACCTCCTCCTTGGTCTACTTCGCCCACGTAACATTGATGTTCCCTCTGAGATCATGCAACTGCAAGGCCACTGTAAGAAGAGCAATGAAGAAATCAGTAAGAATATAAAATAAACAGAAACTTAATGACCTCTGAAAATCAAGTTGTCCTCTCTCTTTTTTTGCCCGGCTGTTTTTTCAGGAGTTGGAGTCTGGATCTGGATCTAGTGAATTTAAATGAGGTTTCATATGAGAGTAGGGTTTTTTCAGCCTCTGTATGATAAGAAATTGGACTAGAAATCTGCTGCTACTGATGAGTAGATGGGAAACATGATGTGCCATCAGCCATGAGGCTTGTTTTAATACAAGGGGACAGTTGAGGATAAGGTCGGATACAGTAAACTTACTTTGCTTGTTTCACACACAGGCAACAACTAAAGCAGCTACAACATCTATTATAGTAGACACCTAGCGCTCACAGAGGATTACAGAGTTTTATTGTACCACACGCTGAACATACCCAGAGGGTCCACAAGCTGGTGCACTAGTCCCATGTTCTTGGCTTTATCTGCCCTGATGTCCCAGCCTGTCAGCATCATGTCAAAACTACTCTCTCGCACACAAGTGACAAGAGTGTTATTGTGAGCTGACACCCCCCCCCCCAGTGAGTCTCTAAACCACAGATTAATAAGAACATCTGTATAATTTGATACGGTCTATAGAGCGCCACCTGCAGTCCCAGCAGGATCTCTGGTATCCCCAGGATTGTGAACGGTTATTTCCAACAATTAACTTGAGTTTAATCGTGATATTTTACTTTTTCCTTTGCAAAAAAATGTTTGGGTGTCTGGGGGCGTGACCTTTGTATGGCTTCTGAAGGTGCAGTGTGCCAGAAAAAGTTTGATATACACAAACACACACACACACATTAATCATGTCACATCTGACAGCGAGGGACTGAGACAGGCAGTCAAGACTGTCAAACATATAATCTCTCTCTCTCTGACATGTATGTATCGCCTCACACACACAGACACACACAGACACACACCTCAGCTGTGTCGTCGAGTCTTATAACTGCCACATCATCCTTGAGCTTGTAGCTGACGTGTGTTTGGGCTTGATGGAGAAAACAGTAGATCGTCAGACAGAGGGACACCAGTATAATGTTATGTTAATATCTGCAGGTTTAACACTATCCGTGGAGAATGTTGGTATAAATAGCCCTCAAGGACACTTATTGTGAATTCACAAAACAAACTGCTGCAGAACGGCAACGAGATGAAAAGTGAAGTTTCTTTAAGAGTAATCAAAAAAATTCAAAGTCTTAAACTGTGAGTGGCCAGAAATCTAAGAATGGAAGTAGGTTTCAGTGAAACAACTTATTTCACTGATAACATCTGAATTTAAATTTTTTATTTAAAGGATTAAATGTTTGAATGAGAAATGTGTGATTAATGTCCATCACAGCCTCCGCTCTGACAAGGCTGTTTTAAATTGTTGGGTTTGTTCAGTCAGCACCAAAAATCTTTTCAGATTTCAAACTAACTATCATTATTAGCTAGAACTACAATCTTTCATTTGAATGAAATCGATTACAGCTGAGTACCAACATTCACTTGCACCATCAACTTTAGTTTTTTCAGAACATGAGTAAAATAAAAAAGAACCACACTCTTGTGCATTCTCAGTTTAAATCCAAAAATATACTAATACTTGGTTCAACCAGGAAACGTGAGAAATGTTTTATTGGTTTTGTATCATTTACAATAAAAAATTATTTGGAAGTTTACTCTTGACGATGAGATATTTGCTAAAAAAA